CCTTTAGTCACCCTAGTTCCAGGAAATTTGCTGACCTTCAACCGTAGAACCAGGATGACAAAGACCAGGATGACACACACCAGGCAATCACTTGACCAGTTTTGAGGTCCTTATCAGAATGGACTGTGCTGGCCTGCATGTGGAGGACTCTTCAAGCCTTTCCCCTTGATTTCTTTGTTCTGTTTTCCCTCTCCCTGCTTATAAAAACCTCTGCCTGCACTGAGATGTGGAGATGGGCTTTGTGACAAGAGTTCTTCATCTTCTCAGGTGACTGGCACTTGAATAAACCTCCTTCCTTTTTCACCAGCGTCTGTTTTATGAGTTTGGCTTTCATAGCTGAACCTTGGTTCTGGTTATAATGACACCTCCCAGAACATGGCGTATAGGTTCTGCTCCCAGAAGACACTTGTCAGTTTAGCTGGATTCTGTTCTGGCTCCTGTTCCATGGAGAAGGGGAGTGTCAGTCAGTGAGGAGGGCAAGCAGGACTGGGCTTGCCTGCTGGAGAACGCATGTAGAGAAGTTTGTCACACACTCGCTCATGCTCAAACAGTTTGTCCCACACTCACTCATGCTCAAATGCTCACATGCTCATACACACATGACCACATGCTCACATTCTCACATACACATACACTCACACAGGGCCCACCGTCCTCAGGGTGATAGAGAAAGGCCTACTATGCCAATGTGGGCTGCCTTCTCACAGGGGTCCCAGGACACAGGCTCATGGTTTGCATTTGCACAGAAATGTTGACATTTCCGCTTGCCTTCTGCAATTTCCGCCCTTATTCTGGCTCCAGCCTTTAAGAGTATAATTAAAGCCAACCTCAGTCAAAACACTTCCAGATTTCCAAGACAGCTGCTGGCACCTTTGACTGATGACAGATCCCTTCCAGCCTCTCACAGCTTCAGGAAACCTGCCTCCCTGAGGCAGGAGTAGGGGTGCCGGAAGTCCCCTCACCACTACGCCCCTGGTCAGGCTCGTTTTGGTAACATGTGGATGCAGACAGTGTGTCCCAGGCCCTCTGTGGCCCACACACTTCAAGTACTAAGTGGGACAGTCTGGACTCACGCATGCTCTTCTCACAAAGGGACAGTCTGTGGTGCCTCATGGCTGGGGCTAGGACTCGAGGCTGATGCACAGCAGTGACTCTAAGCTCAGTGACAGGAGGACCACTTTCCTGGCAGTGTGAGGTGGGAGCATATTTTCTCTAAAGGAATCTGAGAGCAAAGTCAGGGGATCAGGCTGGTGACCTGTCCAGGCTGAGGGTGTGAACAGCCGAGTCCCCAAAGGCACCACTGTCTCCAGACCTCCATGTTCTGTCCATGCCCCTGTTCACTTGCTTGCCTGCTTGGTCGTGTGGGCAGGATATGTGGTCATCCCCACCAGTCAGATGTGGATGTTGGTGCTGGACACTGAGACACTGAGCTGGCTCAACCCCAAGGCCAGCACCCATCTCCAGGAGGGAGCTTGGTGGGCCTTTCGTAGCCACAGGCTGAGACAAAGGTCTGAGTGTGAGTTTACTGGGAGGGTGTCTCAGGGAGCACCGTAGGACATGGGTATGGGAGACAGAGGGAGGGCAGCAGGACAAGACTGGAGCATTAAGACGAGTCCTGCGAGGGCCTGGAGCTCAGTTGTGCTGGGACCCAGGACACATGGAAACCTCGGGTTCCACTGCGCCCAGTGAGGGAGCAGAGCTCTCACTCTTGACTCCCAGCAGCCTCATCAAGGGGCAGGTGAGGCAGCCACAGCAGCCCGGAAGGAGGGAGGGGTTTGAACTGTGTGGAAGGTTGTGTGGGAGCCCCCATGGCTGCAACATGCGAATTCCTGAGCGTAACTGAGGCAATCCCCAGGCCCCCCAAAGCAGGTGAGACCTAACGCTAAGAAAAGACACACAGATCCAAAATGCTTCCCCCATCGTGAAGTAGCTGCTCTCTCTGTTCTCATAGTGGGGCTCACCTAAGGATCCAGACCATGCAGGGCCCCATGGCATCCACCAAAGGGCTGTGCAGTGCCCCATGGCATCCACCAAAGGGCTGTGCCAGGACATCAGGGAACAGAAGGGACTGTGCCAGGCGCCCCTCGGGAAAGCAGGCACTTGGAGGGCAGGATCAGAGGCTCAGCACAGTTTTCACTGTCCATGTTCGAGGGTGACGGGGTCATAGCTAACCTCCTAATTTAGTCTTCAACTTGGATGGGTAGATAGCGAAATTTTCTATTCCTATCAAATCACCTCGCAGCCCATCATAGCCGACTGATCTTGCATTCAAACAGCTAGCTGCCTGCTGTGTGTCGGTGCTGGGACAATAATAGGAAGTGCGTTCATACCCAGGCCATTAGCAGGAGGGAGGGAGGGCCTGCTGAATGCGGGGCTAAAAATACCAGCCAGCGCCTCAGGGAACAGAGCTGCAGGGCTTGAGGTGGAGGCTCTTTCTTCCCCAAAAGCAGGAAAGGACAGTTTCCACAGACTAGAGTGCCCTCTGTAGTCAGGAACCTTGTCAGAGCCAAGGAGGCAAACTCAGAGGTCTGGACAGTGAAATATCTTAAAGCCACCCCGGGGACCATTCCCTTAGCACCACCACACACCAGCTCCGTGCTCCCCACTCAGCACAGTCTGTCTGCCTCAGCCCCTCAGATATGGGTGGGTCCCTGACTCATCACTGTGGCCTGCAGCTGCTCAGTGAGGAATTAAGGGAGTGGGGCCTGAACCTCTGGGCCTGGTTCCAGAGCCAGTGTCCCCACCACCACCCTGCAGTGACCCTCGGAGCCTCGAGGCAGGATTCTGCCTGTGCCCTGTCCGTGGAATGAATGAAGACAGCCTGGTCTCCTGGGATTGTAGGAAGTGACCAGGCCTCAGGCCCACCTCGGCCTTCGCTGCTGGTGCCTCTCAGGCCTGCACGCCCAGCCCGGCTCCAGTCCTGCTGTCTGTCCTGGCCTCCCTTCCTCTGTCCCTTTGTTCCTCCAGTGCTTCTTACAGCTCTTTACGCATTTCTATTTACATGTCTGCTCTGGCCCACAGGTGAGGGGGAGTCAGCACTGGCCACAGCCTTACACAGTAGTATTTATGTTCTCGAGTAGAGTCAGAGCATCACTCTGAAAGGTAAGTCTCCCTGTGCCCTCCCCTTCCACAGTTCCTTGATTCCAGTGACACCATGACATCCTCACTTGACCATGCCCCTCTCCAGCCCCCACCCCTGGAGCTGCTGCCTGGAGCCTTCTAAGGGCTGCCTGGGGTCCCCAAATGGGGCAGGTTGCAGGTCGCAGGTCGTAGGTTAGGGAGAAGCAGGGAGTCGTTGCTCAGAGTGGAATTCTGGGGCAAAGGGAGTGTGCGTTGGGAATTTCCACAGACATTCCCCAGTTGCCCTCCTCAGAGGTGGTACCAGTTTATTCTCCCACCAAAACCAGATGGCTTTCCATTTTCCCACATTCTCCCCAACCAGTCTTGCCAAACCTTTGTCTCTTTCCCGAAATGATAGACGAAGGACACTATCTTGTTCTTCGGGTCCACATTTCTCTTTATTAGGAGATTATTGTGCTAAAATGTAGCTCGTGTCTTCTTTTCCTGGGGCTGTCTGCTGAGGGGGGGG